ACCTGGACAGGAGGACGATTAGGGTCCTCAGTCAAAGCCTTTGGCTCAAAAGCCTAACCGCAAGGTAGCGGTGTTTGGCGGGAAATGCAAATGCATTACCATTTCTACGGAACAAGTCGCCACATGTTCCAACCCCCAACCTGGAGGGCCAGGAGACTGTGTTCGTCAGACCTCTAACCATTGACCAACCTGGTATGAGAGACTCTGTGAGTGTCGCGGGACACTCTCCAGTATAGCTCAATGGATCGCTGAGGTGCGCCAACCGTCACACCACGGTAAGGTCCAGTCTCTTCGTGACGTAACAGAATTCAGTTCGAAAGGAGTATACATTACCTAGATATGCCATTTTAAGCCAGAATTGAAAGTGAAGGAAGGATCCCCGAGAACCAACAGTCCTGTGGGGATAAACTACTTTTACTGGAGGGCGAGATGGCCAAAGTAGTTAAAGTGCGAATTTACTGACAAGAAGATCCGTGGTTCGAACCCTAACTCTGACTCTAGAATTCCCCTGTCTAGGCTTGGGCAACCTGGCAGTATCCCAGCCCTCGTGCTTCCTTCTGGTGGCATGGCAGTTAGGCACCGAAAGGGTGCTACTGCAGAACGATTTTTACTTTTACTGGATATGACAGAACTATCACAGGAACTCTCAAGACCGGAACCCGAATGGTCCTAACTATTTTGGGCACAAAACCTGCCGATGGTCTGAAGGCGGGAAAAATCACCTTAGGCTAGTGAGTGTCACGAAACCCAAAGTAATAAGCTCGTTAAGTTAAGATGTGGATGGCATCCAGCCACCAATAATCCTTTGATTCTCTTTACTTCCTGTGAAATATTGCCGACTGCGCCACATTATTTTAGAATAGAATGAAACCAAAAACGTCAATACCTACTCGCACTTCCAAAGGCACCATCTACGGGGCAGCTGCTCAATAATATTCCAGGAGTCAGCTTGACGGGCATAGATTTCGCTGCTTTCATTGTTTGAGCTACCTGTTGAACGGCATTGCTTATTGTGAAGGTACAGGGTATTTTGATTCGCTGAACTCTATCCACAAGTGAAAACACTATAGGGTCCTCCGTAACTTTTAACCACGTTCAGTATCCGACCATATACCGCTCCGCGAGTGAATGCACAGGCAATTTACGTTGTGTAGACTGAACAGTTGAACACAGTTGAACAACTCTATCCGCCGAAGATGAGCCCCAAGGGTGTAGGTCATACTCTTTTGGTTTGTATATTTACAATGAGAAAAGAGACTGGCCAGTAGATGGACACATTAGTCCATCAATTAACAGATAGTATAATGTTCAATATGGGTAGAGGTTCACTGACACACGATTGACGTTCTTCCACTAAGCTGTGGATGAATTATTGGATAGAGGTTGTTTGCTTGAAACTACACTGCGAATTCTATGGAGGAAAATGTTGGTATCTCAGGTAGGCTAGATGGTCCGTAGGCTTGTTCGCTGAGCTGGGCAATCGGATTGCAAACGTTTCATCACCAATCGAGGTGACATTATCAGTCATCATCATCATCATTGTCAGCTGTAAGAACCGCGTACTCGTCGTACAGTGGTTGTAGCTGCCGCAGTTTCGTTCACCGATGATTTGGGGGGTAGGCAGCTGCGCATTGCACGCGCGAGCTGGTAAATTGGTGCATAAATCCAGCACTGTCAGTGGGATGTCAAGAGGGGGGTTGGGGTTGGAAAAGGAGCTATGCATTGAAGGCAATAGCGCCATTGAGGGCGCGACTGGGCCATGTCTGATAATGTCTCTAGCCATTGATGTGGCCCGGCTCGGGGTACCCATCCAGGAAGACGACAATGACCAGTGCAGCTGAGTTTGCTGGTAATGGCTTTCACACTTCGCTGCCAAGTCATTGTTTGGCCGCCTCTGGCTCTCTTCCACTCTTCACACGGTTGTGCGAAAAGAGCCCTTCGATGAAGTCGGTGACCGGCATACGCAACACGTGGACGAGTCAGCGCAACCTATGCAGTGTGATCAGTTCATCTATCGAGGGTGAGTTATTTCTCCCGATAGTAATATGTAGCGCACCGCAGCATTGTAAACTCGACCCTTGACAGAGAAGCTGATGTCACGCCTACGCCACAATTGACATAGGTTCGCAAAAGCTGCTCTGGCCTTCCCAATCCGGATGGAAATATCATCTTTCGCCAGACCACCGGGACTGATACAGCTGCCCAGGTAAACGAATTTGTCTACTACCTCGATCGGTTCATCCGCAAGCATGAGGCTAGGGTTCGAGCCCACCAGTTTTTCAGTAGCACTTTACACTTTGCAGGTGTGAAGCGCATACCAAACCGCGAGGCAGAATTATTTAGACTATTTAGTGTTGTTTGCATTGCCACGGTGTGAGAACCTAGAAGAGCTATGTCGTCTGCGTACTCGATGTCTGTGAGCGGAGACCCAGGGAGCACTTCGGCCCTACACGCTTTAGAGGCTGGTAGTGAGTCTTCCATGATCGTATCGATGACGAAGTTGAAGAGGAAAGGGGAAAGAGGACAGCCCTGTCGGACACCACTGGATGTGGTGAACTCAGGGAGAGCTTCCCGTAGACCTTTACACGGCCGCGGGAGTTGGCGTACAGCGCCTTAATGATGTTCAAGAATTTATGGGGGACACCTTTGCTCCACAGACACTGCCATAGTGCTTGGCGGTCCACAGAGTCAAAGGCAGCTTTCAGATCAAGAAAAACAACCATTGTTGGTTGCTGGAAGCAGTGT